AAATTAAATTGAATAAAAGTATCAAGCCCTGTTTCATCCTCAAGCGAAAATTTAGGATTCCTACGTTTTCGCTTGAGGATGAAACAGGGCTTCATACTTTTGACTGACACAAATATAAAAAACCGAAATGAGGTTGTCTGATCCTCATACACAGAAACTGACTGGAGAGTCCATCATATATATATATATATGTCCTATAATGTCATATATATATATATATATATATATATATATATATATAACCTCGCATTCGAGGATACCCGTCTATTAGGGCCGCTTGCCACGGAGCCCACCTATGGATTATGCTGCAGCTATGTCGAGCAGACCTTAGTTACAATTTTGGGAAAAGGCGTGTTATCTAGTGTGATCACTAATTTGAACAAGGCTTGCACGCTCAAGCGATGACTTGTGACTTCGTGCTAGCACAGCTTTCGACGGCCTCAAGAGTTCCGTCTACCTAATTTCACTCACAAGACTTGTTTTTTTTAGACAAGACTTGGTTTTTTTAGGTACCGCACGCTGGGATCGATCCCTTGTGCCCTATACCATCAAGAAATCTCCTTCCTGACAGATCGACTATGGTGACAATCGAACGTTCTAACCAGTTCGGACACGTTCCCATGCTATATATATATATATATATATATATATATATATATATATATATATATATATATATATATATATATATATATATATATATATATATATATATATATATTATTGCACGTTCGCTTTCTGACCATGAAAAACAAGCTTGTATCACATTATAGTTCGATTAGTCGAGGAGGTGGCTTGTTTTTGTTATTCGTCTGTGGAGGTGATCCCAGCACGTGGCACTTTTAGAAACTCTGTGTGAAATTGAGTTGACGGAGCTGTTATTAAACCGTCAATGGTTGTGCTACTATGAATTCCCAAGTCATCGGGACTTAGGGTTTAAGCGTATTGGCCTTGTTCCAAAAATGGATCACGGATAATATGCTCTATTCCAGAAGATGTAACTATGGTTTGCAGTACAAACTACCGGTTGGTTTCTGTGGATTGAGCTGTTGTCTGTAATACGATCTGAATAGCCACCCTTGACAGATTGGTGTACTCAGAAACTAATCATAGCCGAACATTACATATAATTAGCGCATGAATTAATTTTAACTTAATATAAAAATAATGTCTCATATATTAAATGGAAGTTATTCTAGCGTGGTTTAATGGACGATGGAGTCTATCTAAGTTCCAAATAAGTGAAAATTGATACTTATATTTATTTAAAGCTTAAAAAAAAACAACTTTATAGCTGTTTCACACTGCCTGACCATAACCGCCCTTTCGATCAATAATACTTCTATTTTGTGAGCCTGGATATTTTTCTCTTGAGTTGATAACTTACCCATTGCAAGCTACCGCCCTTGTAACCATCTACTTTAATTGAGGGTAGGAGATGCACATGCATCCCCGAGCAACCTTCATTATCCCCCCCCTTATCCCAATGTGTCTCTTAGACCCTCAAGTATATCTGTGGGCTTGTCTCAGTGCATTCAGGTCTCGGACCGGTAGAATGTTTCTGACCCAAGTAGGTGTTCTGTTGCTTTGACTTTTGAGCAGACCTGATATGTCCACCCGGAGCATCACGCATGTATTTTCTCTCCTGTTTTGATTGTCACTTCATTAATCCTTTGAGCCCGGCGTTTCTGAATAATTTCCACGCTTCTGCCAGAGGTCCTGAGTAATCATTGTCATACTCTAGTTCCGATAAATCATCAAGCATATCAATTACTTGCTGCACTCTGTAGAGTTCTTTTCTCGCACGTTTCGTCGCTAATTGCTTCCCTGACGGTCCAGGTTGAGACTCTGCACGCTTTATACTAAAAATGATCTTTTTTTTTTTTTATCCAAAACACATGCACAAAACGCAATGGAAAGGCGTGGACATATTGGTATAACGTTCGATGACACCAGAATCTTACAGCTTTTTCGAGAGCTTTCCAGAACCTTGTTACATGTACTAATTTTGGAGAGGCTCAGTTTATTTCTTTATAACAATAGAAAATCGATCCACCATTTTATACCGAGAAGTTGATTGATTGATCTGTTTTTTATGGTTTATCAACTCTTTGTTGACTATTTAAAGCCGAAGCGTATTTTGGGATTGTAAGATTAATTCATTTTTTTTTCGAATGATAATTGCTTCAACCTTCTGAGCCCTGTGTTCCTGAACAATTTTAACTCTCCTACCTGAGCTCGTAAATTCAAAAGATTATCAATTACTTGATGCGCTGTGTAGAGTTTTTTTCTCGCACGTTTTGTCACTGATTGCTTCCCTAAAGGTCCAGGTTGAGACTTTGTACGCTTTATGGTAAAAATGATCTTTTATATCCAGAACACATGCACAAAACGCAATAAAGAGGCGCGAACATGTTGGTATTGTCATTTTTCTCTTCCACTGTTCAATCGGTGGCTGGGCATTACCGTCATTTTTTTTCTATATCACCGGTAAAGCGGTGGTTAAGGCTCAAACGGTTAAGGGTGTTGGAGGTAGGCGCTTTTTGGGGGGGTGGAGTTATCTGCCTGATAGGGATTCGAACATTCACGTAACTCCGAAGAAGGCTATACTATTAGCAAGTGTATAATATCAAGGCTATTGTACTGTCATTTTGTGAATGGTTTCTGGACCGTGCCGTAGTCTCCTAGTGGGGGTCTCTCGATGCCATGATGAAGGGTACTGTTACTACTGTATCTATGCTATATCCAAGTTATTTATACATGCAACTCCTGCAGGTGTGTTTGTCTCTCTGCCTACCAGTCCTCTACTAATCAATGTACACATGAAACCAATCAAAATTACAAATGAACAAAGCTAGCAAACCAACCTAAAAAAGTAGACCCCTCATATACCATCGCCTACACCAACATTAGGGATCTAGGTTTCAACTTTTCAGAAGGGGAATACCATTTTTCCAGTGTAAACTTCAAACGCTAGGGGAGATCACAGTCTCGGGATACTCACCTCTTATAGTTTTAGTCCTCCTACCTGAGCTCCTAAGTCAAAAAACATGTCAATTAGTTGCTGCACACTGTAGAGTTCTTTTCTCGCATGTTTCGTCCCTGATTGCTCCTCTGACGGTTCAGGTTGAGACTTTGTACGCTTCACCGTCTAAATTGACATGGCCACTGACTCAGAGCTTACATCAAGGACGAATCTCCCTGTGGCAGGGACGCAAAAAACGAGAAGCCCGAACTCACGTATATGTGCTTCCTCGTGGCCCTTAACCATACTGCGATATTCGTCATTGCTCTCTACCACCCCCAGGACAAAGGGACGGTAATCTTCGACCGAATAGCTGAGAAGATTGATATCATCATGACTCAGTTCCCATCGTCCAGCTTTCATATATGTGGTCACTTCAATATCCCCCATAGCGAATGGCTAGCATACTCCAACGAAACCGATATTGAAAACAGGTAGTGAAGGGACTTCATCATCGCCTATGAACTAACACAACCTACCCGGGCCCGGAACATGACAGGACCTTTGGGCGAACTTCCTCCACCTCTTCCAAAGCCCCTTTCCTGATAAATGGTTATCAAAAGTTTTACCTATACTAGGTACGTCAGACCATTCCTTAACCAGTTTCTGGTTGGATATTTCCACATATTATTAAAATGAATTAATTTTCCTTACGTTTTTCGATGTTTAACCTTTATCTTTTTTTGTTTAGTGGTAACCCAAATGTTTTTTTTGGATTGGAAGTTTTTCTTTTCCTGAAATGTGTATACATTTTTGAGGGGGGGGGACTCTGTAAGAATCATTATCTGCCCATAAGGAAATTGTCTAGGTTTTATTTTATTTTCTTTTTGCCAGTACAGCGTTTAAGCGAATTGTTCTTATGTTACTTAAAACATGGTGTTCTCAGCATCTTTCTTTAATGTACCCCCCGCCCCCCAAAAAACTGATAAGAATACGATACCAAATCATTAATACTCAAAATCATTGCTTATTCCCATTCTGGGAATTACCAATCAATATCGGCATGAGGGTGTATGGTTTCGGGGACTTTCCTCGAACGTTGATCTTCTTTTTGTTGGGTGTTAATATATCTTCCTGCCATCGGGTTGCCCCGCTTAAAGTACAAACTACAACACAGCTATAGAATCACAATGCCTGAAGCCTCCTCTTCATCTGTCCAACATTCACTGCCATGAATATCGAAGAAATTTTAACGCTGAAAAACGCGATTCTGTAGGTGATCCAATGTACTTCGCCGCGTCGCTTCATTGAATGCCATCGATTTTCACGTTATTGTTATTTCAAAGGCAAGACCAATCGAATAAATAAAATGTACCAGATGTATTTGATGAATTTCAGAACAATCATAAATTAAAACGTCACACGTGGAGAGAATAATGAAAGAGTTATTTTCTACTCTCCACTATGTCGTACTCACTGGAGGGACGTGGCGAGCTTCTAGGTGCTCTATTGCTAATTCCATGGAAAGTGCTCGGATGAACTACATTCCTTGGTTCCGTCAAAGGCTAACTTTCACGGCTAGAACCTACTATGAAACTTACATAGTAGCAAATCATCCACATTCCATCCGTATTCTATTGATGAGAAGTCAGTTTCACTCGAACAGCTTCTTCCCGAGAACTACTACTCTGTGGAACCAACTCCCAAGAGGGTGTTTCCTCGATCACTACAATCTTAAGCAGTTCAAGTCTAGGGTTAACCGTTACCTTCTTTTCGTATTTGTACAAACTGCGTCCTAACGTAACCCTTTACCTCGAGTGGCTCCCGGATCCTGTACAGTGTGAGCAATACTGTAAAAAAGTCAATCATTTTATTTGGCAGTGATCGCTAGACAATGTTCTCACAGACGAATAAAAGTGGCAGAGATGAGGTTCTACAGGTGGATGCTAAGAATGACATGGACAGAACATATGAGTAGCAAGGAAGTTTTTATTTTAGAAAAAGCGAAACTAAAAGGGGGACTAATAGGGGCAGATTAAGGAAAGAAGAAAGAAAAGTAGGAAGGAAGGGAGGAAGGAAGGGAGGAAGGAAAGTAGGAAAGAAGGGAGAAAGAAAGGGAGGAACAAATGAAGAAAGGAAAGTAGGAAGGAAAAGAGGAGGGAATGGAGGAAAGAATGGAGGAAGCAAGGAAGGAAGGAAGGGAGGCAGGGAGAAAGGAATGGCGAAAGAAATGAAGAAAGGAAATTATTAAGGAAGGGAGGAAAGCGTGAAGGAAGGAAGGAAGGAAGGAAGGAAGGAAGGAATGGAGAAAGGAACAAAGGAAAGTAGAAAGGAAGAAATGGAGGAAGGAAGGAAGGGGGTAGGGAGAGAGGAATAGAGAAAGAAATGAAGAAAGAAAATTATTAAGGAAGGGAGGAAAGAGTGAAGGAAGGAAGGAAGTAAAGTAGGAAGGAAAGGAGGAACGAAGGGATGAAGAAAGGAAGTAAGAATGAAGGGAGGAAGGAATGGAGGACAGAAAGGAGGAAGGAATTGAGGAAGGAAGGAAGGGGGTAGGGAGAGAGGAATGGAGAAGGAAATGAAAGGAAAGTAGGAAAAAAGGGAGGAAATAATGAAGAAAGGAAGGAAGTAAAGTAGGAAGGAAGGGATGAAAGAATAGATGAAGGAAGGAAGAAAGGAATGGAGGACGGAAGGGAGGAAGGAATGGAAGAAGGAAGGAAGGGGGCAGCGAGAAAGGAATGGAGGAAGAAATGAAGAAAGGAAAGTAGTAAAGAAGGGAGGAAGAAAGTGAGAAAGGAAGGGAGAAAGGAAGGGATGAATAAATGAAGAAAGGAAAGTAGGAAAGAAGGAAGGAGGGAATGGATGGATGAAGGAAGGAAGGAAGGAAAGTAGGAAGGAAGGGAGGAGGGAATGGACGAAGGACTCTGGAACAGACTCGCAAGAAGATGTTTTCTCGCTCATTATAATCTTAACCTGTTTAACCTCCTATCCATATAAACTACATTTTACGTATCTGTTTACGTCGAGTGGCCTCTGGGCTTCATTCAGGGTCTACCTTAATGTCAAAAAAATAAAATAAAAATGCTGACGTTCCACACTACTTCAAACAAAAGGCAAGGAAGGAAACTCCTATCAATACTAGAAGGAACAATAACATCTACAGAATGTGAGAAACTTATTTTCCTAAAAAACATTTTTAGCAGAAAGATTTTGTAAATTTCAATCAATAGCACTCTCTGCTCGTTCAATAAATGACGACTGTTTCCTTTTCAAGAAACGATTGATATTCCCGCTATCATTACCATAAATTATAGTTGAGTCAACTGCAGATGATTAAACAACCCCCCCGCAAAAAAAAACACTTTCTCAGATAGGTAAAAATTGCTTTGAGCGAGTGAGGCGTGTAGGCCTTAGCAAGGACCATCCTTCTTCAAAACTCTTGGACTGTCGTTACAGAATGATGATAGATGAACTTTACCAAATAACAGAAATCACATCAATCGAGGAATTTCCCCAGCAGCATCTATTAAAATATAACCAAAAGAGAGAATTAATAATAGCGTTAGCTCATCATTTTGTATAATTGTCATATAGGAAGAAAATGAGTAACTATCAACACTGAGATTGGAACGTAACTTTCTGGACTTATGAATGTGTTTTCCGCCAGGTGTATGAATAGCGGTGTCAGTCTACTGACTGCAGTGAGTATTGAGTGACTATTGAGTTGAACTATCCAGTCGAATTAGTATGAATTATTGTGTGTCGACGATTTGGGTTTTGATTTAAGATTTACCAGACATTAATCCGAGCTGTGCTACTAACAAGGTATTCATTGAAATGGTTAATTATCTTTGGTTGACTTTTACTTCTTTGTTTTTGTTAAGTATTTATTTGCGGTTGTATTTAAATACTGTTTTATCTTAACATTGAAGTCTTGAGTTATACTTAATTATTAAGGGCCACCGTACATCTCAACAGACTGATATTACAATTATTATTACCACGAATTATAGTTAAATCAATGGCAGATAATTAAGTTTTTCAATGCTACAACTATAAAAGCTTTTTTTTTACTTCGACCTTAGCCAAAACCTTCATCAGGTGCCTTGATAAAGTATTGGTCCTTAAATTTAACCTAAACATCAAGTCGAACTCATACACACGACCCATCGCTAAAGAAGTGATGTCGCAAACATCACACTACTCTATTGCCATTTCCATAGAAAGTGCTCAGACGAGCTATACTTTTTAGTTCCACCTGTTCTAACCTTCACGGCGAGGACCCTTCATTCCCTTCGTATTAAATCGGTGAAAACTAAGTTCCACTCGAACAGCTTCTTTCCGCAATCCACTGCTTTGTGGCACCGACTCCCAAGAGGATGCTTTCCTGATCACTACAATCTTAACCTGTTCAAGTCAAAAGTTAACTGCTATCTTCCTCATGTATCCGCATAAACTGTGTCTCTTACTCTGTAAGCCTCTATCTCGAGTGGCTCTCGTGCCTTATACAGGGTGAACCTCACTGTAAGAAAAAAATCCAGTAAAACTAGGCTGAGGCACTTGGAATGTAGTTAGAATGTCTCGACAGTATAAGTATTCCGTTCGTAACATACAGAATTAGATTATAATTTATGTGAAATGCAGCAATAATAAAGTGACATTTTCAAAATACTTATTGATAATCTTTTTTTCGTAGACGGCACATAGCTATCTTCATTGCGACCGCGCTAAGATGATGTCGGGAGGGCTTCCACCCCCGTGTTTCTGAGGTCTCTCTTAATAGCGCTTATGATGAATAATAATAAAGACGAAAATAAAAACAAATTATATAAAATAAAAATTGAAAATATATGATCCCAAGGACTATAAAATTAATTAAAAAAAAAAACTTAAAATACTGTAAATAAATGTAACTGAAAAACTAAACAGAGAAATATTCATTAATACATTAAAAAAAAGAAGAGACGAATCTATTGGGAAGCTAATGAAAAATTGTTGAGAAAAAGGAAATATTCCGTTTAAACGAGGCTTGACAAAACATGGTAGTTTCTGACTGAATGTCCGATGACGTCAGACATCGGGTAATGTGATGCCAATTTAGCCGGTTTAAATGGTTTTTCGTAATAGGACAAGAAAAGCAGACGGGGAAAAAAGATATATGAACACATAAATAATTATGAGGAGACCAATTAAAATAGACTGACGCAAATAATTGCCATTTCGTCACTGCTTATCACAAGATGCTGAAGGCGGCGTTAGGAAAATCAGACTGATACAAATTAAAGTTGAACAAACTCTGAAAGCAAAAGCGGAATATAACTCAGTTACGTGTCATGCGTGACAGACGCTTTAGCGATCATGTATCTTTAGATACTTGACTGACGAGGCAGATTTCCCCCCGCAGTAGGTTGTCATTTCTTTCTACGGTAGACCAGTTGCCATCCAAGGCTATAGAACCCTGTCTGACCTGCTATTTACCGATAGCTGGGGAGGAGGGGGAAGAGGATTCATACCTTTTCCAAGGGTATTAGCACATAGAATGTAATGGATTCGACTGGAATGCGAACTCGGCTCTCCGCTTACCCAATCCGAGAGCCGCTATCCATTATGTTAAGGGGTCCACCCCGTTTTATAGATTCGCCCAGTGTGTACTTGTACTGCTGCCGGTGAATACCTGGGAGTGAGAGAGTGAGAGCGACAGAGTCGAGTCGGAGACTAACAGTGAAGGGTTGTAGCTAACCGAGAGAGTGAGACTGTGAGGTAACCGCTTTGTAGGAGTCACAGTTGCGAGCACGTAGACTCAGAAGGAAGTCCTACTTCGATACTGAATTTCCCAGGCTGTATATATATATTATTATTGCTACTAACCGCATTTCTGGATCTACTAACCGTATTACCAATTATATTATTACGTCAATACATTTATTTGCTATATATCATTTCTGCGTTTGTCATTCATTTGAGACCAGATTTCATCCCGGAATCCACAACACATTACTCCACCGTGCCTCCTGCTCCTCCTCCTCCTCTCTCTCTCTTTATATATATATATATATATATATATATATATATATATATATATATATATATATGTAAATATATGGATATAGATCCGACAGTATGAAGAAAAATATACGGAAAAAAACCCAAAAATCCTAGTATGCAATTATGCTGTTTTAAAGTTAATATAATTTCAACGTCGGACGTTTCGGTCTAATAGACCATCTTCAGGGCATATTCATAAAGCATAATAAACATTAGACTATATTCAATTCAACATGAAAAAGACGATGGACACAAGAGCAAGACTAATCCAAACAGATAACTGAAATTTTTTTATAAGATCAGCGTTCCGTTTTAATATGATCACGTCGTCGTCACGTGGGCGATGTTGTGAAAACGTATTCGAAGATGATTTCAAAATATTAGATAATGGAAATATAAACCTGAATTTACTTTATAACATGGAAGACTTCAAGCTTATACGAAAATCTAAGAATCTATTGATCTCCGCGTATTCCTAAAGGATTTCTTAACGAACTGTTTATATGAGAAAATCGTTCAATCGAGCTTATATATATATATATATATATATAAACAATTACGATTAGGATTTATTGAACAAATACATCAAAACTTACATTCTCTCTAATGATTATGTAGTATCGTTAGACAAGTATAGACAAGCATAAATAGAGAACAACTGGTGAATATAAGGGCTATGCTTAGTAAATCTGTTTGCTAAACGTAACGCGGAGAACTGTGCTGGACGATCCAGAACACATTGAAACATGGATAAGAACTAATAATTACATATATAATGATTCAGAGTTATGAAGTTATACTTCCAAACTTTAATTCTTTTTTTTTAAGTATATATCACCCCAAGCAAGACGTGTGTGCCACTAGAGCTGGAGTAAAGAGGGTGTTTGAGGAAAAGACACAGAGAAGGAAGAGAATCAAGATCATGGGATGAGAAGATATCGATTGAGATTATATTTGAAGATGATCGGCATAAGGGAAGTAAGTAGGAGGAAGGGAGTTCCACATGCGAGAAGTGCGAGACATGAAGCTGTTGGAGTAGAAGAGACAGTGAAAATGTGGGGCCGAGATGCCAACCCGGTAGCACGCTTAAATTCATACAGTTTGGGAACCAGTGAAAGTAGCTCGTCCGAGCAGTTGCCATGAAAATATTTATAGAAAAGACAGAGGGAAGTGACAGCACGTCTGTGAGAGAGTGACTGTAGACGAGATGCCAGATCAGGACCTATCACATTGCATATCCGTCTCTGGATTTTGTCCAGGACCTCGAGATGAACAGCGGGAGCACCAGACCATATATGGCAGCAGTATTCCATGCAAGGACGGATGGCTGATTTGTAGATTTGAAGGATGCACTCAGGCGAAAAACCTTTTTGGCGCGACACAAAGAACTAAATTTCCTTGCGGTAGATCCCCTCCAATTATAATTGGATAAGCTCACCCCATCCCCGTTGGAAGCACTTTTTGAATGACTTGTTCGAAAAAAAATTAAGAAGAAATGTTACATCATTAAACGATCGATGATAAAACAATCATTTAAAATCCTAATTTGAAACCATTGACTGATAAGAGAATTCCTCACAGATGGAAAGAGGAATAATGGAAAAGAAATGTTTGCAGACAATGTGCATCTGTGTCCGAGTATCTTGTTTGTCCTCGGCAACCGCTTCTAGATGGTAGCAACTAGATTTAAATTAGATCCAATATATTTGAAACAGATTTAAATTAAATATGTTAGCTCTATCACTGATATTGAGTGCTTTCCATATATAAATAATATATATAATAATTGCATACAGTTTTGGATAATTCGTGAAATATTTAGAAATCTTGGTCTATTATATTCATAGTTATAGATATTTCTAAAAATTGGTGCAGTCCAAAATTATACGCTCCACCTGATGGAAATTGTGAAATAATATGGGTCAATGGCAATTGTTCTTTATCTGTCATTTAATACAAACACCCTTTGAAAAATGAAATAGTATTGACCTGAGTCTATAAAATTCTAATGAAGAAGACAATATGTGAGTGTCATGTACCGTGATAACTCAGTCATTCGGTAAGAATAGCAAAGAGGGTTGAACTTGACAAGAGACTTCAAATAAAGATAGTTGATGCTTACAAAGAAGATGGTGGATAAGTAATACTTTTCAGGTGTTTAAATATTCCTAGTTTAATAATTTGTAGCATTATCAAAAAGTACAACGAGACTCATTGTATTGAGAATAAATTAAAGACTTTGAAAAAAAATGATTCCTTTTTTTTAGAGAATGGAAACAAAAATTGTTAGAGATGTCTCGAAGAATCCTCACGTAACAACAAAGGACATTGTCAATAGTGTAAAGACATCAGGGTTGAATGCATCGACGAAGACAATCGTTAGATGCTTTCATCGAGCAGAAGATTTTGAGCTTGTCGCCAAAGGAAAACTTCCTTGCTTAAGGCTAAACAACTAGAATGAAGATTAGCTTATGCCAGGAGCCATATTAGAATTCTGTTTTATGGTTAGATGAAACCAAACTAGAATTATTTGGCCACATGAACTTCCGTTATGTATGGAGGAAAGAGAATGAAGCTCACAAACCACACACACACACACAAAAAAAAATACCCTCCTTACATTTATGTACGGTTGTGGGATCATTCTGTTCTGGGGATAGTTTGCTGCTTCAGGACCAGGAGAACTAGTGAGAGTTCAGGGTATCATGTATTTGACTATTCTTAATAATGTAAAACAAAGTGAACGAAAACTGTCTTTGGGATGTCATTGGACGTTCCAACATGATAATGACCCAAAACACACAGCGAAATTCCTGTCAGTGTGTGTAATGATCTTGTAATGATCTTGTAATGATCTTGTAAGGAACTATCAAAGGCAATAATCAAGAATAAAGGTTACATAATTGATTATGGATACAAGAGGGCCAATAATTTTGTCCTATTTTAAATGTTTTCGGTGTTTTTTTTAAATTATTGTTTGACATCAAAATAAAAAAAAAATTCTGTGTACCTCACTTCACCTTCTTTCAACTCCATTATTTCATCAATTGTGAAAAAAAGGAACATGAAATTTACCTGAAAATTTCAGGTATTATCGCTTTATTTGTGATTATAGAAGGAGGTAAATAATTCTATCGACAACTATATATATATATATATATATATATATATATATATATATATATATATATATATATAAGGCTTTGAAAATGACGGAATGTATTCTTTTAAAGGGACCTTTTTCATCTAAGACTTTTTCCAGAAAGATTTTTTTGGGTAACAATACCCAGAAAGGTCGAAACTGAAAAAAGTTAACCACGGCTTGTTGTAATTAAGGAGCCACGACTAAAATAAACTTATTAAAAACAAAAACAAAGCGTTGTAAAAAAAGCCCCTAGTGAGTATAAAACAATAGTCCGAATAATATAAATAGTATAAAAAGAATTATTCACGACACACACCTAAATAATAACATTTACATATATATATATATATATATATATATATATATGTGTGTGTGTGTGTGTGTGTGTGTATTATTGTGGAGATGAACGATAAACAAATCTTTCCAATAGATGATTTGGACTCCTCCAGATACATAAATGTTGACGCGGGGAATCGTCAGTAGAAGGTAGATTTTGCCGTTTTAATGTCGGTTTGTGCCAGTGATCTTATTCTACTGACACACTTTGAACTGTCTACGAGGACCATTCCTTGGACATTTAATTCCGTTTTGGCAAACTTTGCTTTCTTTTCGTTCAGTATATTTTTCTTTTTCAGTTTTTACTTTCAGCTGCAGACGAATTTGTTTTAATTTTTGTATTCTTTTGTGTTTTTTTTTTTTGCGGCGAACTTATTTTTCTACCTTTAAAGTTTGTTTTTATTTTAGTTATGTTTTATTTCGTTTGTGCTTTTCACCTTTTTTTTTTTTTAACTTTGTGTCCTGTAAAAACAAAAAGATTTTCTGGGTGCTTTAAACAAAAACCTTACCTGCCAGTCAGTCAGATCCACCAGACAAATGAGGCTGATCACCTCCAATGACCAAACAAAATGAAAAGAAATCTTCTCAAGGTGGGCAAAAGATAATTTATCCCCCATCCCCGTTAAAGAGGAGAGTAAAGAAAAGTAAACTGAAAGAGAAAGGCACAAGCATGTATGCAGACGAAGTCAGCGGTGTAGTGGCGGGAGAATCACCCTCTGTTTGGCGTAGTTTGTCAAAAGAGCCAAACAGTACGCTCATTTGGTTACCGATGTCGGGATTTTGGTAGACCTCGACACACAAAAGCGCATTGCAAAAAGAGCTGTGTCAGTCTTTGTGATCGACAAGCTCACGCACAAAATTCGTCAGTGCACGAAAGGCACAGTGATGAAAACACTGAATTCCTAGAGGTTAAACCTCAACAAATAATCAAATGGTTAGGTTATTTCATATGGAACATACTGTTGCCACGCAAGAGAACTGTGCTGATATAACGTCCCGTGCTTTAAATACTAAGGACCATATCACCTGCATAGAATACCGAAGACGGCGTAGGACAAATCTGACGGTATATGAGATCCCTGACTATTTTCTTGGAGAGCACTTAGAGGCATATCTTATGCAGTATGGGCATTTACTGAGTGTTTCTCCGGAATATCAGACGGGTGAGTAGGGGTTCGAAATGATGTTGGACCGAGAAGTCGTTACTAAATTCCCAACAGCTGGGAGGTAGGCGGGAAAAATTACCCCGTCACCATGACGAGGAGGAAACCAGGTTGTTGGAAATGTGGCGTGACTGGTCACCTCACACCTTCCTGCCCAGAGAAGAAGGCCCCGGGAGTCCGATACAAATCACCCTCGAGGTGAAACTAATCGGTCTGCCTGCAGCTGGCACAATTGGTGAAAAAAACCCGGTTAGGTTTCTTCCAGAGCCTATATTGCCTGCCAAAAAGAAGGCGGAAAAGAAACTGGAATGGATAGTCATGGGTAGAGTAAGAAGGAAGCTTCGAACTCCGGGATCCCAGTCCCCTGGCATTCCAAGGGCAAGGACACTAACAGTCCCATTTCCAAGGGGTGGGGGCTTCTGGTTAGCTACGTCAGTAGATTACATGAAATCCGTAATAAATTTAATTCTGGATACGAAAAGTTAAATAAAATTAAAGAATTGTAGAAGCAGTTAAAGGCCAAAAAAAGCACTCTGAGCAAAGATCGGCCCTGTCCCATCTTCCACAAAGAAAACATCAGCCCTTCCTTCAGTGTCAATTCCCCTATCTCTATTGACGTCTCTGAAAGAGGTACACAAACCAAGGACATGGTCGCAATGTCATTCTACTACAAAGAAAGCTTCTATTCAACCCTTGTCCAGTAGGGGGTGTCTCGCTCCTCAGCACATTTCCCATCTGACCCGCCTTCAGTACTAGGTCACTGACCCCCAACCACTTTAAAGATTTCTCCCTTAACATGGTTCCCACTCCCTGCACACCACTGCCTTCCGCTCCTGCCCAATCTCCTCCAGCACCACAAAAGGAGTAAAGAAGCCCATCCGGGGAAACTGTAAACGAAAAAGGTGATCGAAACTGCCCTACAACACCGAAAAAGATACCTGCCTTGAGTCCCCGAGCCAATCAGAAAGAGAGAGAGAGACAGAGAGACAGAGAGAGAGAGACAGAGAGAGAGAGACAGAGAGAGAGAGAGAGACAGGGAGAGAGAGAGAGAGAGAGAGAGAGAGGGAGATGTCGGGGGCAGTATGGGAACCGAATGAAGGCCCTTGAATACTTGCTGTCAGTACAAAATTTTGGAGACAGTCGTTGATGACTCGCGAAACTTTCCAGACGTCATGCGGATCCTTACAGTTACCAGGACTGGCTCGAAATCCCGGCAGATTTGGGCGATGGTGGGAGTGGCAATAAAAATCTTTGACATCATACCCTCAATTAGCCATCATCGATAAGGAGGAAAATAAAAGACTTAAACAATTCTGTTCAGGGAGGATCCCAGTTTATGTTCACCCTTTAAAAGGATGGACGGAAGTTTATGCTTCATAGATTTACCCAATCCTTCTTTACCGGATCTCGTTACTTCCTCTTTCGTACGCTGAGCTAATTTGATTGGTTCGAGTTTTGTTTCCCCTCTTGTGGCGTAAAAGGGCACCTAATGTGCGTCGCGAGGCCTGTTGCCTCTACACATCTGAGGATAGGACAAGTGAAGAACAGCCTCCCTAATCCTAATTTTTCCCATGTGGCTTATTTGTACTTTCGTACAATAAATATCAGGAGTAAACATGTAGAGAGTTACAGATGTAGCCTAACAACTGCTTTCTACCGATTTCAGCAAAACTGCGTCGACTCCATACGACATACTACTTCTTGATTGTGCTATTTTTTTTCTATGCAAAGATGTCATAACATATGTGTGTTTGCGGGTTGTTTAATCATTTCACGCCAAGGCAATAAAGCCACTAAGACGCAAGGTCTTACTGTATGTGAATTAATATGAGAAAAAGGAGAGAGAACAATAAAAGAGGAATGAAGAAGGCAGAAGATAATGATTAACATTACATTTAAATTTTTGAAGAGCAAAATTGGCTGGAAAACATATTGGTAATTAAATTGACTTACAAGGAAAAAGAATTTATTTCTCTCTTAAGGATGTAGGAGAAATCGTATTGTTACACAGAATAATATATATATATCATATTTTTATTACTTCAAAGCTCCCAAGAAAACTAAATGATCCACATGGAGTTGATATGCCGTTAAAAAGGCAAACAAATTAAGAGTAAGTATATTTACCTTGGCCTCCCCACTGAGACGAGTTGTGATACAAGGTTGGGTTTAATGTGGGGGACCATAAGTGCGTACTCTTAGGCCAAGAACAAAAATTCCCCGAGCCCCCGTAACCATCGGTTTCGCTGGTGTTGTTGCGAGCACTGATTTCTCTCTCTAGGGCAATCAAAGGGTGCAGCCATGGGCATCTGTTCCCCAGGGATGAGCATCTCACAGTGTGATTTTCCTCAGTTGGGCTTCTGTCCTCCGACGAAGTCGCAACCAAGTCGTACTCTGCCCGAAGACAGAGACACAACTGAGAGACGATAAGTTGTGCATTGAAAAAAAAAAACAAGGCTTTTTTTTTTTGCACGCAGAAAAACCAACATTTTGCTTAGATTTATGGCAATGGCAAGGGACGAAGGGGATTTTTGAGAAGAGGGGAGATTAAAACACGAACGATGTGCAAGAAAACTAGCAGTCAATTTTTCATGCATTTTCTCATACCAAGAACAAAAACAAACTTTAGGGACTTCAAAGAAATAAGCAAACTTCCGGGGTTGAGACTTCCGGCTTTCAAGAAGATGTGAAAGGAAAACAAAAACAAAAACGGGTAACAAAAAAAATAAAAAAAATAAAGAATAAAAAAAAAAATAAAAGAAGTGCGAGAAGGAGAAAAAGGAAACAAGATATTAGATGAGGAAAACAGAGATTGAAGAAAGAATTTGAAGAGGAAGAAAAAGAAAAGGAAACTAAAGAAGAAGAAAAAGAAAAGGAAACTAAAGAAGAGGAAGAATCCAGAGGAGAGAAAGAAAAAAAATTGTTAAATACTGAATGAAAAAAGTAATTAGAAACAATGGTCGAAAATCTAGAAGGAAAATGAATAAGAAATATAAAGAAAAAAATATAAAGGATTGTAAAGAAAGAGAAACCTTTAAAGAAAGACGAAGAAGTATAGCTGAGGAAGAGGCTAAAACAGAGAGAGGGAGAGAAAGAGAAAGAGAGAAAGAAAGAGGGAAAGAAAGAAAGAAAGAAAGAAAGAAAGAAAGAAAGAAAGAAAGAGAGAGGATGAGAGAGAGAAAGAAAGAGAAAGAGAGAGAGGAAGACAGAGAGAAAAGAAATGGAAAGAGAGAGAGGAAGAGAAAGAGAGAGAAAGATAGAGAGAGAAAGAGAAAGAAAGAGAGAGAGAAAGAAAGAGAGAGAGAAAGAAAGAGAGAAACAGAGAGAGAAAGAGAAAGAGAGAAAGAAAGAAAGAGGAAGAGAGAGAAAGAGAAAGAGAGAAAGAAAGAGAGAGGAAGAGAGAGAAAGAGAGAAAGAAAAAGAGAGAAATATAAAGAAAGAGTAAGAGAGGTAGATAGATAGATAGATAGATAGATAGATAGATAGATAGAGAGAGAGAGAGAGAGAGAGAGAGAGAGAGACAAAGAAAGAGAGAGAGAGAAAGAGATAACAGGATAAGATTGTCGATTTTGCAATGTCAAATCTTGTTGGGATATTTAATGTCGAATTTTGTCTGGGGCACCCAGTGATGATCGAAATCACTAGCGATAGACGACCAGACATTATACCTCGCATCCTTGTGCGCAATTCTTACGTATTGTGTCGAGCCTCAAGGGATATCGACTACATAAAACAGGTGCTCACTTCAGCTGAACTTAGCATTTATACCCACGCACACAAGACGGGAAGTTATATGAACGTCTGACTCGTGAGGGGGGCAGGGCGTGTCTTTCACATTCTTGCGAGCAAAAGATTGAAGGGTGGAGATAGAGGTTGATATGTCACTAAGCAAAAAAGGACCAACGGGTTGACAACACTTTATATATATTCTGGGTGCATGACAGCAGCTCTGATAAACTCGAATAGATGTGTGCAAGAAGATAAGAACACTCAGGCTAAGCAGACCGACGCTGTTTTCTATGTGAAGGGGGGGATTATCGAAAAAATATAAAAGATCTGTGGTCCATATAACATCAGGACGAACTTCAAAAGTAGTTCAATACTTCGCAGATACCTCTTCCGACTAAGACCTCCCCATAGAGGAGATCATGACTAAGGACTGTGTGTACATAATCCCATGCAGCTGTAGCAAGAAATATAAAAATGAAACAGGCTGTTCCCTTAAGACAAGACTGCAGACACACCGTAAGCCGTAACACAATGGTAAATAAAAAGATCCGCTGACCACATATGGAGGAAAAATACCCTCCCCTGGGATGAGTTTGAAATAATAGACAGATAATATCACCTGGAAATACGAAAACTTAAGGAATAAGCGCACAAGTTAGGCTAAGTCGGCCAAGCGTATAAATAAATACAATATGCGAACCAGTAATGCGGAATGCTAAGGAAAAACAATAACAGTAAAATTGCAATATGAGCTCTGGTAAAATCGGTTACTGACACAAATGTCCTCAAGGATATATGGCCCAGTGGTTAAAAGCGTTGGTTGAATCCAGTAACTTGACGCAAAGAGTTGTGATTTCACTACCTGGCTACTGCAGTGGTGAACAAAAACTTGAAGTGTTGAGTTAAAGTGAGATGACTGAGACATCCGAAAGAGGCATGGCACATGGAACTAGAACAATCTACCCCTGTGGAGGAAATAAAGGATTCATTTCGAAGTTTCACTCACCTGAATAAGGTTGGAGCGTACAACGGCCGAGATACATATGCCAACGAAGATGAGAACAAGAGTTCGAACAATGTAAATATTTTGCGTTGCCAGAAATTTTTTTGCAAGTAATAATTGTTTGAGAATAACAATATTTTTTACAGATACAAATCCTCCTACTGTTTAACCCAAGAGTATTTGAGCGAAAGTGAATATAGCAATCTTTACTCGAATTCAAACGTCAATTTTTCAGTTACGAGTCGTTTTCAATTCCACCTCTGGTACATCCAAACCAGCAGCATCTGGTATTTTCAAGCCGCCACCGGTCTAGGTGCTGGCCAGGCTCAACGTTGCTTAACTTTGGTGATCGTACGGGAATCGGTGTTTTAACGTAATATGGCCGCAAACCAAGAGAGGCGCCCAGAAACCGACTAATTGAACAGAGGAATAATCTATATATAAAAACGAGACATTATAAGCGAAGAAAGAAATGGTGTTCTAATGAAAATAGCCGTAAAGAAGGTGACACAAAGTTGATAACGAATGGCGGCGATGAAGGAGTAATTTTGAAGAAGCGGCTTTGACTGAGATGATTATGACGACTGTAGTCGTAATGATAGGAATGACAATAAGCGTAGGCATTGTAATGATGACGATAGCCAAGGTTATTTTAATGAAGATTATAGTAATGTCGACAGAAAGATAGATATTGATAATTATAGGAAAATGTCATTGCCATCAATTTCTTTGTTTTCTCTTCTAGATTAGACTTGAAATAAAAAAAAAAGAGAAGAAAACCAGTTATAAAAATGGCGCCCCGAATTATACGGTCAGGGAAAGGAAGCCTTTGACACGCCGATCTCAGCTCATATTTATTTGGATCCTTCAAACAACCATAAAAATTTGTTTGTTTGTTTGTTTATAAAATCCGTAATAAGCAGTTTCTGTAAATTCTAGTTCTTGTTCGAAATTGTTTTGGAATGAGAAAGCTGGTTGCAGGCAAACCCAGTTTTGCGGCGCCAGTAATTGATTTTAGTTATTGAAGTTTGGCAAAAGGGCGTCGCTTTTTACAGATGCCGTTTTTCACTGCTCTTTTGGTTTATTTTTCCAGATTTCACCGCCATTTTTTTCTCGATCTTTATCCTATTCGTCAGCTATTTCTGTTCGATTTTATTTCTTCATAACTATGAATTTCTTTGATATTGAGCTTCATATAAGTCTATCTTTCGTTCTTGCTTTGAATATTGCTGTCACATCTGGTCTAATGCTTTCTGCATGTATTTACAGATTATTGGTAAAATACAAAGAATTTGCAAAGTTAATGGTCTCGACCTGGTATCTCGGCTTCAGTTATTTTCCCATCGGCATAACATAGCTTTCTTGGTTTGGTTTGGTTTGATGTGTTTTATTTTACGGCATATCAACCTCAGTGGGTTATTTAATGTCGACAAGATCTTTATTGTCTTTTGGTTTGGTTTCTTTTGTCTTTTCTTTTCCTTCAAAAATGTATAGCTTGGTTTGGTTTGTTTTACGGCATATCAAACTCAATGGGTTATTTAATGCCGACAAGATTTTTATTGCTGCTAATATTTTTTTCCTTCAAAAATGTATAGCTTGGTTGGTTTTGTTTTATGGCATACCAACTTCAATGGGTTATTTAATGCCGACAAGAATTTTATCGCTGCTAATATTTGTTTACTTCAAAAATGTATAGTTTGATTTGTTTTGTTTTGTTTTACGGCATATCAAACTCAATGGGTTATTTAATACCGACAAGATTTTTATTGCTGTTAATATTTTTTTCCAAAAATGTATTGCTCATAATATGCTTTTCTTCAAAAATGCATTGCTGGTGATATTTATTTTCTTTAATGTATTGCTGGTAATAATTTTTCTTCAAAAAATTAATTGCTGATATTAAAACCTATTTTTACACTTTCATATTGTTTAACCCCAGTTAGGGGGTTAACTATTTGCCCATAGTTAGGGCCCTAACAGGTACTACCACCCCGGATCAGCGTGGATCTGGGAACACCAGCAATTAAGAGGTGGGTCAACGCTCCTCAAAACCTGATCAGAGGCCTTGCTGTTGGATGTAGCCTATCCTATTACCCTGGACGCGGATGTATTTTATCGTCTTACCCAGGACGCTATCTTTTCTGTGTCGTTTCTATAAATAGTTTCATGATAATTGCTTTGGTGAGTTTTTCATCTTTGGTACTAAGACTTGACGAATTTAAGCTCAGTACTATATTGGCAGTTACACAGTACTTCAGTACACAAATATTTCAAAGTACATTCAGCATGAATTCTTTGTATTGTAAATGAAGCTATTGCAGTGATATATCTGTTTTTTTTTTTCTTAATCAAATCAATTGCTTCATCTACCGCAAGGAAAGTTGGTTCCCTGTGTCGTGTCAGAAGGTTTTTCTCGTCTGAGTCCATTCTTCAAATCTCTAAATCTACCATTCGTCCTTGCATTAAATACTGTTGCCATATATGGTCTGGTGCCCCCCGCTGTTCATCTCGAGGTTCTCGACAACAGACGGATAGGCAATGTGCTTGGTCCTGACCGGGCATCTCGACGTGATGTGGCTTCCCTCTGTCTTTTCTACAAATATTTTTCATGGCAACTGCTCTGACAAGCTACTTTAACTGGTACCACAATTGCATGAATTTAAGCGTGCTACTAGGTTGGCATCTCAGTCCCACCCTTTCACTGTCGAGACAGTTAAATGTAACCACCTCTTCTACACCAAAATCTTCTTTTCTGGCACTTCCCGACAGTGGAACTCCCTTCCTCCTGTTATAATCTTCAAGTATTCAAATGTAATGTCAATAGACATCTTCTGATGCCTTGATCTAGTCCCCCGTCCTTCTCTTTATCCTTTCATCAAACACCCCCTCTTTACTCTTGCTCTCACTCTCACATGCTAGTGGCACTCTCGCCTTGTTTGGGGTGAAATGCTTAAAAAAAATATTTCGTCTCTTCTTTCAATTTAATCTGATTATTAAAGTAGCCATTCTTCTATATTATTCTACCTCTGTCCCATAATTATTGTTCCATGTTGTCTATAAAATGTGTACATAAATGGAACAATCATTATGGGACAGTGAGGGTCAAATGTTTCCTCTTTTCTTTCAATTTAATCTGATTATTAAAGTAGCCATTCTTCTATATTATTCTACCTCAGTCCCATAATGATTGTTCCATGTTGTCTATAAAATGTGTACATAAATGGAACAATCATTATGGGACAGTGAGGGTCAAATGTTTCCTCTCTTTTTTCAATTTAATTTGATTATTAAAGTAGCCATTCTTCTATATTATTCTACCTCTATCCCATAATGATTGTTCCATTTAGTCTATAAAATGTGTACATAAATGGAACAGTCATTATGGGACAGTGAGGGTCAAATGTTTCCTCTCTTCTTTCAATTTAATCTGATTATTAAAGTAGCCATTCTTCTATATTATTCTACCTCTGTCCCATAATGATTGTTCCATTTAGTCTATAAAATGTGTACATAAATGGAACAATCATTATGGGACAGAGATGGGAACTCACTTCCTCCTACTTACTTCCCTGATAGCTATAATCTTCAAATATTCAAATGTAATATCAATCGACATTTTCTGATGCCTTAATCCTGATCCTCGTCTTTCTCTTTATCCGTTCCTCAAACATCCTTCTTTAATCTTATTTCCACACTCTGTAACCGCTTGATTTCTAGTGACACTCTTCCATTGCCTGGGCGGATGCTTTAAAAAAATCTCCGCAAGTAAGGCAATAATTTCACTAAGATACATGGGCTTACTGAGAATGAAAGAAAATGAAAAGACAATAAAAGAACAGGCTAACGACATTGCATTTAAATTTTTGAAGATGACAGAGGAAGCAAGAAATCGGAAGATAGTTCCACAGGCAAGAAATTCGAGAGAAGGAACTATTAGAATAGGACTTACGGTTACATGTAGTTGTTTAAACAGTAAAAAGGATGAGACCTAACTGCCAATCTAGTAGTATGCTTAAATTCATGCTGTTGTGATACGAAGGACAAGATGTCAGGCCAGGACCGATAATATTGCAGTTCCTTCTTTGGATTTTGTCAAGAATCTCGAGATACGTAGCACACGACCTGGTATCTCAGGAACATTCAATGCACGGACGAATGGTAGATTTATAAATATGCAAGATGAATTCTGTCTAGAAAAATTCTCGTACGACACAATGAACTGACCTTTCTAGTAGCAGACCTAGCAATTGATTCCATATAATCTATCCAGTTCATGTCAGTGGAAAACGAGCAAGAACGCACAGAGGTTAGCATCAGCCATCCTGACGGAAGGCAGAAACCATCGACTATAATGATTGAAAGATAAAAGGTTCGTTTATTAGAAGCCATTTCTTGCACCAGTTAACAACTGATTGAAGATCGTTTTACAGAGCAGCTACCAGTCCTGGCCTAGCATAAATACAGAGTTGGGAACTGACCATGTCGGAAATGTCGTTGAAGGCTTAAGTATAGAGTCCTGGGAGGGAGGGCTCCGGCATTAAACGATCCAGAGGCGTGGCCGTTCCATATGAACTTCATTACACGATTTGTCAAGAACAATTGCATTATATTAGATATTGAGCCAGAGGGACTATAACACTTGAGCTTGTGATGAACGCCATTGAGTCAAACACCTTCGAGATATCTAAAGCAACAAACCGAGCCTCGCCGTTTTTATTTAAAGTTTGATAGATAAATTCAGTAACAATCGTTATATCTGACATATTTATAAGTCGTTCTCGCTTTGAATATTGCTGCCACATATGGTTTAGTGTACCTTCTATAAATTTAGAGATTCTCGATAAAATCCAAAGAAGAATCTGCAATGTTACTAGTCTTGACCTGGTATCTCGGCTTCTGCCACTTTCCAACCGCTCAGTGTCTTTTCCATAAATGTTAATTGTTCTCATGAACTTTCCTCTATGGTAGCTTGAATATATGAATTTAAGGGCAGTATTAGATTAGCGACAATGTCTCATCATTTTACAATTGAAATGGCCAGATATAACTGTATATTCCATGTTAACAGTTTCTCGTACTTCTTGCTTGTGAACATCTCTTCCGGCTCCTTGCTTCCCAGTCAATTTAGATCTTCAAAGATTTAGCTGTAATGTCAATCGTTATCTTCTGTCTTCGTTCTTATTCAGTTATTGTCCTCTCTCCTTAATAGCATTTTTCTCATATTCTATAACGCTCAGTAACCTCTCTGCGTCTTAGTGACTTTATTGCCTTGCTTTGAATGAAATTATTAAAAATGCACAGCCGTTAACCTAGAGAAATAAAAGCTAGATTTTTTTACATGAAAGAAGGCCGTGTGCCGTGAGATACTTAACGAATATATTTGAAACGCTCACATTTGATGACGTCACTAGTTGTATTCCCAATGAAATTTCAAAATAACGGATAAGAAGTAGAACAATAGCCGTGCAAAGTTTCAAACATATTCCCGCCTCTCATCAGCGTGGCTGTTACTACCCTTCATGAGAGTGACCAGTTTCACCTACTCGGGTTTACATTCAGGGGTGACATTAAATGGGACGATTATATTGAATCCATTGTTAGGTCAGCTGCTAAGAAAGTTGGTTAATTGTTTTGTGCTAGACAATGTTTCTCTTCTGAATTCATTTTATATATTTATAAGTGTACCATTCGTCCATCTTTGAATATTGCTGCCAAATATAGTCCGGTTCTCCTGCTATATATTTAGAGATTCATGATAAAATCCAAGAAGGATTTGCAATGTTACTCTCCAATATCTATCTTACATATTTATAAGTCTACCATTTGTCCATTCTTTGAATATTACTGCTAAATATGATCCTGTGCCCCTGATGTGTATTTAGAGATTCTTGATAAAATTCAAAAAATCAGCAATATTATTGGACCTGACCTGGCGTCTCGGATTCAATCACTTTCCCACTGTTGTAAAGTATCTTCCCGGTGTCTTTTCTATAAATACATCCATGGTAATTGTTCTGATGAACTATTCGCCATCGTACCCAGACTTTATGAATTTAAGCGCAGTACTAGATTGGCGGCAAGGTCTCATCAATTCACAGTTGAATTGATTAAATGTAACCGTAACTTCTATGCTAACACTTTCTTTTCTTAAACTTCTTCCGGTTCCTTGTTTTCCAGCTAACTTTGATCTTCAAAAATTTAAATGCAATTTCAATCGTTATCTCTCTCATTACTTTACTATTGTTTTCACTCCTTAATAATGTTTCTCTTTTTTTCTTATTATTTCACATTCAGTGATCCCTTATTGGCTTTACTGCCTTGTCTGGGATGATTTGACTAAAAAGATCTATGATATTTTAAATTTAACAGAAAAAATCTCCGTCTTACCTTTTACTATTCTGCTTGGAATATGGTTAAGAAAACAAGGAAATATTCCAGCGTATAACAAAAAGGATAAGCTGTACTGTGAGCCTTCCTGAAAAATGTTTTTTTCCTATGGATTATGAAGAGGACCGTAGAAATTATCGGTTGAAGAATAATATAAAAATTACAATGTGTTTAATTGTACGAATAACACATGGTTTTATATCTCTTTTTCAAATGATGCACAATTTCGATGCTCATGGGAATGAGATTGTGAAATATTGAGGGGGTGAAAATTTGGGCCTTGCAAAGAAAAAGGGGCGAAAAAAAAAAACAAACAAAGAAAAAAACAAAAACAAAAGCAATCAAATAAAGTGTAAATCCAAATGTTTTTATTCCCAAAAACATTTTTTTTTTTTTTAAATCCAGAAGATAGTTTTCGTACGACAGAAAATAGACTTCAACACGGACTGTTTCATCCTTCTGCCACTCGGATTATCACGCGGGCTGCCTGGATTCGGTCTTTCTCCGGCAAACCTTGTCTTTTTACTTATACCTCATGTGTGGTCATCATAGGAGACACTCAATACCCGCAAATATTGAACAGAAAAATGCTCGGCTCATTTCTAAGGTAGGTTACTTGAAAACCATATAATTTATAATAATAATTATGTCTAACAGCACAAATTTTGCAGATTAACAATTAGATATATTTTTTAAATACTGTTATAAGTTAATTAAATGTCAGTTAAGATATCATATCTTATCAATAACACTGGGGAACAAATTTCAATTTTTTGTCTATTGAATTAGATTTGACAGTTCTATGTAATTTGGGTGTATTCAGTACGTATTTTGACTCGGTTCTACTCTGTCAGGTTATAATTTTGCTCAACACCACCCCTCTTTTCTCTCTCAAATTTCACTAAACTCACATTATGCAAATCAGTTTTTATCTAGGTATTTGTACCTGTTGTTATGGTATTGCTTTGTTATGTATACTTTTATATGTTAACACCCGAAAATATTTTTATTTTTGTCATTTTAACCCATTTTCATATTAGTAAATCAAACTAAAAATATTATTGAATGCTAGAATTTTCTTGAGAGTTCCTGATTTCTGTAGACCATTCTAGAGGAATAACTAAGATATATAAAAGCGACTCGTTTCTGGAGTTAATCAGCCAATGCAGTCAGTGAGTTAATTAAGTTTGAGCATTAACATAATTTTGAATTGGCATCTGATTTACTGAGTAATTTTGTCACCGTGATTTAATAGATGATTTAATTAGACGTAAATTATATTGTACCTACTTATCCGTGTTTCTAGTTTAATTTCACATTTTGTAAATGTTACAATTTTTGGATACATTAGACTACTAGTGAGCCAACCCAGATGACTTGACTCACTTTTTAGTCCACCAATAGAAGGTTAACCAATCGGAAGACGTAGAACATTCAATCCGTTGTGTATAAAGGCGGCCATTTTGTTTACTCTCTCCGAATGTCCAGTGCCAACTTTTCATGCGAAAGATCAGAAGGAAGAACTACTGAACTACGGTCTGCTACTTTACCGGTATATCCACTGCCAACCTGAACAACGCTTCCTTACTGTCTTCGAAATATTCAATGCTAACCTCTGGATTCTATACTCAAAGACGACTGTCATCATGAACAACAGTAAATATCTATTCCATAATAAGTTCCTAAATAAACCAAGGCGGAAATTTTCGACTTTCCACAAATAAGAACAGTAATTGAAAACAGCAATTTTCCTAATGTTATGAAAGAACGCGAAAAAATTCCTGGTTTTCGTTCGTGGACTTGATATAAAATATTTTAGGCAATTATAGAGCAGGTAACTACAAAGAAATCGTAAAAAAAAATTAAGAGTCTACAAAGAGCTAGGTTTCAATATGAGCAAAAACATGCATTTTGAATAGCCATCTTGACTAATTTAGGTGATTTAAGTAACAAACAAGGGAAGAGATTCCCCTAAGATATCAAAATTATAGAGGAACGGTAAGAAGGTTTCTGGGATTCTCACATGATGGCTGATTACTGCTGGTGCTTGAAAAGAGATCTGTCATCAATAAGCATATACGATAGAGAGTCTTGTAAAAAGAACATTTTTGACACATTAAAAGCTTCATATATGTTTTTTTTTTAATCTTAAGTCCTTTCTATCGTTATAATCTAATTTTACTTATTATTTTATTATAATTTTTTTTACTTTAAACTGCTTGTATTTATGAAACTTGAAACAAATTAACACATGACTTAATGTTTGGTCCGAATTTGAAAGATTTTGAAACTCGCACCTGATAGAGCCAAATCAAATGAAAGTCGTATTCAGTGGACTCAAATAACCTAAATTCAAGCGTTAGATATCATTCAATTAAATACGTGTTCCCCAATGTTATCAGTTAATAATATTTAAATTTCAGTTATAAAAATATTAACAAATTCTTTTGGTAGTGTTACGTTTTATTACACAAACACCCAAAATACAACATTGTGGCGGACTTCACTACATTAATTTAATTTTAGATTAGGAAACAAGGCTCACGCAAAAAAGGATAACCAAAAGACATTGTTACACATAAAATATGTATTTAACAAGATGTACAATATCAAACAACGATGTGAAAGAAAGCATGCATTTAAGTAAGAAAAGGTTGAATAAAACAAGAGTTGTCTCTCTTTAACTGTTATTTTAGTGTTCCAAAATTCACTGGAAGAATGTTTATGAGAGTCTCTTATAATGACTGTTCCCAGAAGATTTTCCTGTGTAAGAAAAGATTATGTGAGTGTATAAGGGATGTTCAGCATGTGAGTGGTGTGTGTGAGTGAGAAGGTTGGCGCATGGTTTCAACTGTCGTGGATTTGTTTGGTAGCTAAATTCTCACTAATTAGCTAAGAAAAATTCTTGCTTATATAAGTGACTATAGGCTCCAGATCGTTGTGCGGGAAAAGTTACTCTTCACGTGTAGACGATATGATTGGTTGGCATTGACCAATCAGCGAGCGAGTTTTAAGGAAACTTAAAAAAATTTCAGTAGTCCGTTTCTCCCAAAAATTGACTACATGAAAATAGAGCGATTACAAAATTGTCGCATTGCTGCGATTTGTAAATTTTCTATAATAACATAGTGGTGATTTATTAACCAATTAATGCTTGTCGTTGTATGCGATTTGTATATATGTATGTATGTATGTATGTATGTATGTGCGATATAGATCGGCAGAACATAGTTACTTATAATAAATAAATCCCAAAGATGTAGGTCACAGGAACATATATTTGATTAACACAATACGCCATGTCTTCTTCTATAAGAGGTGTCGCTTCAGGCGTGGCCGATCAAGGCTCTTTACAACTTGCTGTCTTTTGTAGCCTTGAGTAATGTTTCCTATTCATCATAGTCCTTGTTCTGTCAGCCATACACAAGTTCCTTCTTCGTATCAATGTCGTATGAATGTCAAATTCTCTTTCCTCATTATGTGCCTTAGAAATTTCAATTGTCTCGTTTTGATTTTACGTATATGTGTCTTTTTTTTGTTTCTATTCCATTTAAAACTTCCTCATTGCTCACATGTTCAGTCCATGGTATTCTCAGCAGTCTTCTGTAGAACCACATCCACGAATAAATTATTTTATTATTTACACTATTTAAGACTAATTGCACTCAGTGGAAACAGGCGAGCAATAATTGAACTGTGATAAAATAAAATAAAGTCTAGACGACATCCCTAGATATAAACAGTGTCACGCGAACAGTCTACCCTCGTAGATTAAATAAACAGTTCAGTTCGGAATTCCCTGTAGGTTACGAAGATCGATATACAACAGAGGGGAGCTGGATGGCACTAACAGCGAAACGTTGTGGTAAAAACAACAAAGATGAAGATAATAGTCCGAATATAAATAATGTAAATAATGATAACCCCTTATCCCAGAAATCCACATAGAAGGCAATCAGGTGAAGATGAGGACAATAGTCCAAATATAAATAATGTAAATAATGATAACTCCTTATCCCAGAAATCCACATAGAAGGCAATCAGGTGATAAAAACAACAAAGATGAGGACAATAGTCCAAATATAAATAATGTAAATAATGATAACTCCTTATCCCAGAAATCCACATAGAAGGCAATCAGGTGATAAAAACAACAAAGATGAGGACAATAGTCCAAATATAAATAATGTAAATAATGATAACTCCTTATCCCAGAAATCCACATAGAAGGCAATCAGGTGATAAAAACAACAAAGATGAGGACAATAGTCCAAATATAAATAATGTAAATAATGATAAATCCTTATCCCAGAAATCCCCATAGAAGGCAATCAGGTGATAAAAACAACAAAGATGAGGACAATAGTCCGAATATAAATAATGTAAATAATGATAACTCTCCAGAAATTTAAACAAATATTATTTTATTATTTCACGCGTCTCTTTGACATTCTATAACTTTTATCAATCTTTCAACCATTGAGTTTTTTAATTTTTCTACTTTTTTTTGTTCAAACATGAATTGCTATCTGAGATCTTTTTTTGCTTTCATTTTATTTCCCATTCTCATAGGCATCTCTTTTAATGATGGTTCACAAGTTTATTTTTATAAGATTAATAATTCAAGTGTCTGTGGCAATTCCATCAATTTACTATCTTTGAAAGCTTTTTTTCCTTTTGCAAGATCGGCAATAGTCATATTTTCAGAATGTGAAGAATTATTGTCATGTATGAATATCATTTTTAGTTCAAAGCTTCTTTCTTACGGCCTGCACTACTCAAAAAATAACTAGTTTCTCTCGCACTTCTCGCTTGTGCAACTCTTCCGGTTTCCTGCCAAATACAATTTTCAAAAATTGAAATGCAATGTCAGTCTTCATCTTTTGTCTTCTTAAATCCTGTTCTTTTTATTGTCCTCTCTGTTTCTTTCCCTATATTAACCCCTTGCGTCTTAGTGGCTTTATTGCCTTGCTTGGGAGTGAAATGATTAAAAAGAAAAAAAAAACCTGTACAACTTAGAAAACACTTAGTCCAAGGAACTAAGAATAAATCTCTGTGTTGATGTTGAAATCTTTTATGTTTGGATCTGTGAAATATTTTAATTGAACGGAAAGTTAACATAAGAAATCCTGCAGAGATCAATGGATGGAATATATAGCTGAAAAAATTTGGCAAACATATCAACCAAAATAGCATATCAATTTACAATTAACATACGACTTTCTTTTATCTGCAATTGATTAATTAAAAGAATATTTTCTCATTATGTGTCCGCCATAATTTTTAATATTTTCTTTCTTTCTTTCTTTCTTTCTTTCTTTCTTTCTTTCTTTTCAACCGTTCTTTCTTTCTTTCTTTTCAACCGTTCTTTCTTTCTTTCTTTCTTTCTTTCTTTCTTCTCAACCTGTCTCTTTCTGTTTATCTTTTTTAATCTCTTTCTTTCTTTCTTTCTTTCTTTCTTTCTTTCTTTCTTTCTTTCTTTCTTAGGCCGAAAATCAACAAAATGCTTAGATATAAACATAATCTATTTTTCTTATTCTCTATGTCTTTATCGCTTTTTCTTTCTTTATTATAATTTTTCTTCCTCTATACCTCCACTTTATTTCTTTTTCTTTCTTTCTTTCTTTCTTTCTTTCTTTCTTTTCAACCGTTCTTTCTTTCTTTTCAACCGTTCTTTCTTTCTTTTTTCTTTCTTTCTTTCTTCTCAACCTGTCTTTTTCTGTTTATCTTTTTTAATCTCTTTCTTTCTTTCTTTCTTTCTTTCTTTCTTTCTTTCTTTCTTTCTTTCTTTCTTTCTTTTCAACCGTTCTTTCTTTCTTTTTTTTCTTTCTTTCTTTCTTTCTTTCTTCTCAACCTGTCTCTTTCTGTTTATCTTTTTTAATCTCTTTCTTTCTTTCTTTCTTTCTTTCTTTCTTTCTTTCTTTCTTTCTTTCTTTCTTTCTTAGGCCGAAAATCAACAAAATGCTTAGATATAAACATAATCTATTTTTCTCATTCTCTATGTCTTTATCGCTTTTTCTTTCTTTATTATAATTTTTCTTCCTCTATACCTCCACTTTATTTCTTTTTCTTTCTTTCTTTCTTTCTTTCTTTCTTTCTTTTCAACCGTTCATTCTTTCTTTCTTTTTTCTTAACCTGTTTATTTCTTTCTTTCATTCTTTCTTTCCATTCACCACTATCTTTTTACATCCTTTACCTCCAATAAAATGAAGGTTCGGTGTAAGACTCTTTTAATAATTGTCCATTTTGGAAAAGAGTTGTTTTTTTTTTTTTGCCTAGAGTTCTCGCTAATGATTGCCTCGGGCACTTCCCGTCGTCAGCGAGAATTTAACGGAGAGCCAATAACGTTTTGCTAATAACATTTCGGAAGACCCCTTCCTTAGGAACGGCACCATTTATAACCTTCCTTTCTTGCTTGCTTTCTTTTCGTCTGACAGTTAAAAAAAAATCAAAAAGATTTATTTAAAGAAGGAATTAAAAAAAATGAAAGAAAGGAATTTTTAAGTCACAAAATAGAGAAAAGTTAACTGAAAATCTAGAATGAAAAAAGAAGGGAAATAGAAAAATAACATTAAAAATACTGAGATCTTATGTTAGGTCTATATGACTGAGGACTTAAATATTGCCATCAGGAGAAGAAAAATAAAAATGTCTGCAACTGTTGACAGAATGTCGTTGCCTGGCGGGATTTTCAGAGAACATTGAATTCGACTAACAGAATCATGACGAAATTTTCGCATGTGCGGCTCCAGAGGAAGAGAAATGAAACGAATTATAAAAGCTCCCATGTATCAGGTTAGTAAAACTTCTCAATACAAACATATTTATTCGAAGACAAAAGATAATTTTTTAATACTAGTATTCACCCAACAGAAGCCTCAGGAGTCATTTCGTCTAGAGGTTTACTGTTAAATTGACTATGATGATTGAAGTGGATGATATGAACGAAAGAAGATGTGGTAGGAATTGAAGATAAGGAGGACAGATCACCGCTGAAGCTTGACATGAAGAAGTTAATATTAAAGTGTTCTGAGAAGTATCCACACCGGAGTTTGTTTCACAAAGTGGAAATTCTTGCGATAAATCAATCTGAGTGTCTGTTAAATTCTCGAGTATGAAAACTATATATTTTCTGTTTTTACGTTATTTTTACGTAATTTCTTGAATATTCAGGCTTGTAAATGTAATTAATACTGTTTAATGAAAAACAAAGCAGTTACTCAAATAAGTTGTATCCATAAAAATAACGGATGAACGGAATATATATATATATATATATATATATATAGATAGATAGATAGATATGAACAGGTTTAGAAAGATAGATATGAACAGATTGAGATAGAAAGACATGAACAGATTTACATAGATATGAACAGATTTATATAGATAGATAGATAGATAGATAGATAGATAGCTGGCCACTCTTATTGGAGGATATCCGTCTACTAGGGCGGTTAGCCAATCCCTATTGCAGACGCTCGCTCAGGCATATTTGGACTGACGCACAATGAGATACAGTTCATTTCAGTGACGAGTCCAAGTTTACTATATTTGGGTCTGGGAGCCACAGATCCCACCTGTAGTTTATAGTGCAACTATTCTGAGCAGACCTTAGTTACAGTTTCTGAGGGATAGTGTGTTATCTAGCGTGATCATCAATTTGAGTCCAGATCGTTCAAGCCCTAGGGTACGATGGCTTGTGGTTTCGTGCTAGTGCAGATATCGACGGTTCCGACTACCCAATTTTCGATCACAACTCGTGGTATGGTTTTCATGTACTTTCTAAAGGTACTGCACACTGGGATCGATCCAGTCCAATAACATCAGGAAGTCGCTTTCCTGACAAATCGATCATGGTGAGAAAACGGACTTTCTAACCACTCGGCCATATACAGTAGCGGCCATAATATAAGGAACGGAAACAACAAAGACATAAATATGTGTATTACTTAAAAAGTAATGCATGATTAGCAATGACATTTTTACCGAATAAAGATTAGGGTGTAATGCATAAATATTATACAAAGTTACAAAAATTTACATAATAGGTTTTTTTAAAATAAAAATAAATTGGAACAAAGTGTTGAAACTTGACTAATGCATGGAATAATAATACAACACAAAATGTACTTAGAACAAAATGTATTGCAACAAGAAAGTGTACACAATATTTACATATAGTCTTTTGTATATTCCTGCGAAGACCGTTCCTGGAGAATGTGTTGACTTAGTCGCAGTCGGGCAGAGTCTCTGGATTGAATCTCTTGATTCCTCCCCCCTCTCTTCCCAGTACCAACCATATTTATATGGTCTGTACTCCACTATGCAAATTAGGTGGATCCTACCACAACACAAAGGAAATAAGCTACTGAACAAAAGTTAAGCAACGATCTTGTCAATAATTGATTGTGAACAAAATATCAACAAAATTTAATATTTGGTAAACATCCCCTTATTTTCAATGACTTCTCTGCATCGTCGACCTCATGATCTAATTTATTTCTTGCAAAAATCAGCAGTAATTCACTCCCATTCCTCTTTCAATAACTCCCGTAGGTGATCCTGGTTTTTTGGGTTTCTTTTCTGAGCCCTTTCTCCAATTATCTTCCAAACATTTTCTATTGGATTCAGGTCGGGGCTCTGGGCTGGACACTTCATTAGGGCGATTCCTTCTTCTTCAAATAAAGCCATATTCTTCTGAGCCTTGTGGCAAGGTTAATTGTTCTGCATGAAAAGATTATGGTGTAATTTTGGTATCCATGCTGCTGAAGAAGCCTTTTGTAAATCTCAGCATTGATATTGCGATGTACGCGGATGATAGGGCCAACTCCTTCAGATGAAATCATTCCTCACACCATCACACTGCCCCCACCAAACTTAACGGTTTTCTTGACACATTGAGAAGACAGTCTTCGCCTGTTCTACGGCGTAGGTAAGTTTTGCCCTCAGAACCAAATATAGTAAACTTGGACTCGTCACTGAAATGGACTGTATCCCATTGTGCGTCTGTCCAAACAACATGTTCTCTCGCATACTCCAGGCGTGCCCTTTGGTTCCGCTTTGAAATGAGAGGCTTCGAAGCTGGAATACGGGCATGCAATCCTGCATTTTTTAACCTAAGAGCAACCGTTTTCCTTGAGATCTTATTATCTGTATCTTCATTAAATTTACGGGCAATTGATGTAGCAGTTTCAAAACGGTTTTTTGTAGATATTCTAACAATTCTTCGATCTTCTCTTTGCGGTGTTTTTGGAGGTCTGTCGGTTTTTGGTTTTGTATCTAACGTTTTATCGGTTTTATACCTGCTAATTACATGATGAACGACACTTTTAGACCTATGAACAATATCAGAAATCTCTGAAATTGACTTTTTTTCTTGATAGCGATAATGAGTTTTATTTTTCCTCAAAAGAAAACCTTTTGCGTGTAGAATTTGCCATATTGCTTAAAAATAGAAGTCCTAATGATAAATGAACTTTTACTTATTGTTGAAAAGCTCCATCGAGTTTTTTAACAATGTAAATTAAAAGTTTATGCAAATTATTAACATCGTTCCTTAACTTTTGTCCAGTAGCTTATTTCCTTTGTTCCATTTAAGCTTTATTTAAAAAAACTATTATTTAGATTTTTGTAACTTTGTATAATATTTATGCATTACACCCTAATCTTTATTCGGTAAAAATTTCCTTGCTAATCATGCATTACTTTTTAAGTAATACACATATTTATGTCTTTGTTGTTTCCGTTCCTTATATCATGGCCGCTACTGTATATATATACAGTGGGGGAAAATAAATATTCGTACACTTGAAAAATTGTATTTTTATATATGTAAAAGTCTTAAATAAAACAAATCTCGACACATTTTATGTATAAAGACACATACTATTAAAAATAGTAATAAACTTAATTAATTCTTATTCTAACAGAAATTAATGCATTTTTTAATTCTAAGTGGTGAAAAAAGTAGTCGTACAAATCAATTATTAGAATAAAATCAATTAATTATGAAAAAAGTATATTCTAGAATGTTCCAGTAATGTTATCAGTAATTATAGTTAACGCTATTAGCCATTATCAGAGCATTCTGTAATTTCTAGTCTTACGAGAAGGTTCTAATAATGCCTAAAGGTAAAGAATTGACTATTTCACAAAAACAACACATTTTGTCTCTTTGGAAAGATGGGAACAGTTACAGAACGATTTCTAACAACCTGAATATTCCTTTTACGACAATTGCTTCGTTCATTGCAAGGTTTAAAACTCATAACAGCATCAAAAACCAAAGACGAAGAGGTGCTCCCAGGAAGATTTCTCTAAGATCAGCAAGGATATTAGGACGCCAGATCCAACAAAATCCACAGGTTACCCGAGAAGAGCTGCAGGAACATCTGCGTGCATTAGGGATTAAAATAACCAAGCGTACAATAAGTAATGAACTACACAAAAACAGTCTGAAATCACGCATCCCAAGGAAGACTCCACTCCTCTTGAAATGACACAGAGATGCTAGGCTAAAATTCGTTAGAGAGCATAAGGATAAAGAATATTCGTTTTGGGGAAAAGTACTATGGACAGATGAAACTAAAATAGAGTTGTTTGGTCATAATCATCGAAATCATGTGTGGAGGAAGGACGGTGAAGCCTACTTACCAAGGAACACGTTGCCAACTGTAAAGTTTGGTGGTGGCAGTATCATGATCTGGGGCTGTTTTCTGCAAAAGGTGTTGGCAGAATATCAATAATAGATGGCAAGATGAATGCCGAAAGCTACCAGAAAATCCTGCAAGACAATTTAATGCGTTCTGTTGAGAGACTTCGACTACCTCCTGATTGGGCTTTCCAACTGGATAATGATCCTAAGAATACTGCTAGATCTACAAGGAAATGGTTAGCTGAAAGTAACGTTGATGTTTTGCAATGGCCAAGTCAGTCCCCAGACTTGAACCCAATCGAGAATTTATGGCGATATTTGAAAATTCAAATTGGGAAAAGAGCACCAACAAATATCAAGAATTTGAAGACAATATGCCAAGAAGAATGGGACAAAATATCACTCAATGTGTGCAAATCATTAGTTGAGACGTACAGGAATAGACTGGTAGCTGTTGAACTCAATAAAGGATATTCCACAAAGTGTTAAAATAAGTTAATATTCTTTTTTCGTTATTTACGAATACTTTTTTCATCAGTTAAAATGAA